ATGCAGGGCTGGCTGCGGGCGCTGGCCGCCAGCGCTCAGGAACACGCCGAGCTGGCCCGGTGGCAGCAAGGCCTCCTCACCACCTCCTCCACCGACGAGGGGCTCCCCCGGCGCGACCCCGACCGGCCCCGGCGGAAGTGACCCCCTCGAACACCCCAAAAAAACCCATATTTTGGGGTCCCGGCCTCCTCCAAAAATCTATATTTTGGGGTCCCACCCCCATCACGAGTCAAGGGTCGGGAGTCCCGAGCCCCAATTTTGGGGTGCACGCCTCCCCAAACTCTAACGTGGGAGTCCAAGCTCCACCCCAAACCTCGGTTTTGGGGTCCTGGTCCCCCCAAACCTCAATCTTGGGACCCTGGCTTCCCCAAAATCCAAATCTGGAGTCCTGGTTGCCCCAAAACGCTAATTTTGGGGTCCGGCCTACCCCAAAACCTAACTTTGGGGTCCTGGCCTGCCCGAAAAACAAAATTTGGGGTCCCGTCCGCATTCTTTCCCCCAGCACAAGCCATAGACAGCCGGGGGGGCCCCAGCGCCGCCGTTGTACAAATGTAATAAAGCACCCGCTGCACCCCAAAATGGGCCTGGACCATTTTGGGGAGTCCTGGGAAGGCTTGGGGCATCCTGGGAGGGTTTTGGGGTGTCCTGAGGGGATCAGGGAAGTCCTGTGGGGGGCTTTGGAGGAGTCTGGGGGGATTGGAGGAGATCCTGGGGAGGCTTGGGGGAGTCCTGAAAGGGTTTGGGGGAGTCCTGGGGGGGTTCGGGGGCGGCCGGGGTGGATGTGGCGGCTCCCGGTGTCTGTGCGAGGAGGGATGGAAGAGGAGAAGGAGGTGGGGAGAGGAGGAGGAGGAGGATGAAGGAGGAGAAGGAGGTGAGGATGGCGAGGGGGAGAAGGATGGAAGGGAAGGGATGAAGGAGGACAGGCAGGAGGGGACGGGACACAGGAGGAGGAGGAGGGGGATGAAGGAGGAGAAGGAGGTGGGGATGGCGAGGAGGAGGAGGATGGAAGGGAAGGGATGAAGGAGGACAGGCAGGAGGGGACGGGACACAGGAGGAGGAGGAGGAGGAGCGATGGAAGAGGAGGGATGAGGGAGCAGAAGGCGGTGGGCACAGAGAGCAGGAGGAGGGGGAAGGAAGGGCAGGGAGGGAAGGGCAGGGA